TTCCCGTACCTTACCCGACACTGCGGTCGATGCCAAGGAGAGCCGCTTCATAGGGGTTTCAAGGCTGTCACCCTTCAGAAGCAGATCGCCAAGCCTGTCTTTCGAGGCACCTCTGGGTGGGCTTGAACTGCCAACCTTTCCGCTGGTAGTCGATTGCTCAAGCATTTGTGTCACTCAGGGATCATGTGAGAAGCTTTCCACTAGGGAGGATATGAATGCCTCTGAGCATGGTGGAGTCACGACCTGGCTCCACCTCCAGCTCCCACCTGACCAAGCCTGGGCTCCTCAGCAGTGCCTGTGGACCACCTGCCCAAGGCTGTGCCCTGCCCACGCATGGGCCATGCAGGCAGAAGGTCACACTGGCAAGGTGATTGGGGAACATTCCCCAGCAGTGCCTCCATGCCCTCCTCTGGGCATCCGTGGACAGGGGGTGCTCAGCGTGGGTGTCTCCGGGAGTGAGTTCAGCGCTGGGCTCCTGTGGGGCTGGGCACAGCTGGGAGGCACAGCCCTGTGCAGTATCACTTTTCCTGTGAGGCAGCAGGCACGCCGATTTCCTAGGAGATACCAGTGCTGGAATCAACTCTTGGACTCTCTCTGTTTAATAAGATGCACCATCATGTAACCACTTCCTGCCAGCCACCCTGCCCCTGGAGTGACCCTGTGATTGTGCTGTGGGGAGAGAGGCTCTAGGGCTACAGCAGTTTGCATGCAACTACTAACCTAAAGGAGTGTGGCTTTGAAGCAACCAGTGGTACCATGCAAGAAAGGCCTGGCTGCCTGCTCTTGTAAAGATTACTGCCTGGGAAACGCCATGGGCAGTTCTGCTCTTTCACAGATGGGGCAGCCTGTGGATGCTCCTCAGGCCCGGGGACTTGTTGGCTGAGTGAGCTTGGGCCACCTTGCCTCCGTTTCCAACCTGATTCTGACCCAAGGTCATCCCCCCCCCCACCCCCTCCCCCGTATGGCTGAGTAGGACTGTTCCTTAGGGTTTCCTTGGCCTGGCCGGGTGGGTCAGGTCTGCCAACCGCAGGTAGTAAGTACTCCATGCAGCCCGTCTTTTACTCGGTCTAGGAGTTAGAGATGGTCTTCCACAGGTGTATAGAGAAAGCTAGGTTTGTTTTATCGATGTGGTATTTTGAAAGACGCCCTCTGGTCTAGCAGGGAGTGCTGTTCCTGGCGTGCTGGGGGGAGAGGTTGCTGAGGCCCTGCCCGCCCTGCACCACTGCCCTCCTCTCAGCTGCCTCGTGCATGGGCCACAGTGAGCCGGGAAAACCGATGCATTAGGATTGTGGTGTGGGTAAGACGCATGGAATATGCAGTGAGCTGTCAGGAGAACTGGTGATGCCATGGGGTAAGCTCTGGGCTGTTAACCACAAGGTCGGCAGTTCAGATCCACTAGCCATTTTGCAGGAGAAAGATGATGTTGTCTGCTCCTATAAAGATTTATCGCTTACAGTGCCATCGAGAAGGTTGCTAGGAGTCAGAATTGGCTCGATAGCAGTAGGTTTGGTTTGTAAACCTATGTGACCTGGAAGACATACAACCGGAATTCTCCTTAGAAGTGAAGACCGACTTGTTCACTGTGGACTCGTCTTCCGGAGAGACCCTTCAGTAGGAACTGACATCATGTTTGATAAAGGTGAGATCAGGGAATGTGAGAGAAATCTGCTCTGAGATGGAGTGACACAGTAACCACAACAGTGGCTCAAACATGCCACCGGTCATGAACATAGCACAGGGGCAGGCAGCGATGGGTTCTGTTTTGCATGGGGTCACCATGAGCCAGTGCCAACTTAGCTGACAGCAGCATCAGCCCCTGCCAGGGTGGAGCCAGGCGGTCCGGCATGCTGCCCACCTCCCCCACTGTGCCCACCTCCCCCAACCTGCCCGACATGCAAGGCTGCCCTCCTCAGCAGCACCTCAGAGAATAAAGCGTGGGCCCCTGGAGTCTCTGGGAATGCTGAGGGGCAGCACTGAGAGCCACATGGGCCTCACCGGCAGTGGCCAACGGTGGCTCTTCCAGACCAGACTCCTGGTCCCATCTTTCTGGCATGATTTACCCTATGGCTGCTGCTTCTTTTCTCTGAGGACCGGGCCCCAGGTCCAGCAGATGTGGATGGGGGGATAGCCCATGCCCATCCCCAGAACCAAAACATCAAGCTCACTGCCAGCAAGTCAATTCTGGCTCACAGTGACCCTGTAGCACAGAATAGAGCTTCCCCTGTGGGATTTTGAGGCTTTAACTCTTTACAGAAGCAGACAGCCTCATCTTTCTCCCGAGGAGTGGCTGACTGGTTCAAATTGCTGACCTTGCGGTTAGCAGCCCAACGTGTAACCCACTACACCACCAAGGCTCCAGCCCAGGGGACACTCTCCGTGGGAGTCACTGCCATACTGCAGGAGCCCTGGGTGGGCTCACGGCCCTGACACGGGCTGGGCCATGGACAGCCGTCACAGGGAACCCCGTGCCTCCTCAGCACGTGTCGTTATCTGTTGTAAGGGCCTGCTGGGCAGGCGGGCCAGTGTGAAGCTGCTGGGGCAGCAGTGTGGTAAGAGGAAGTGGCGCTCCTGGTCAGCGACCCTTTCCTTCCCCGTCTGCTTTTGCAGGACCAGAAATGTGTACAACGAAATGGGAACTTCCGGCTATTGTCAGTGTGTGAGCACACCCCATGTCTGGTTCATTATCTAGTGCTCCTGTAGCAGAAAGGCCACAGTAGGTGGCTTTAACAAACACATTCTCTGTCTCTCAGTTTAGGAGGCGGTCCGGGCTCTGGTGGAGTTGTGAGTTGCATGTTGGGTTGCTAACTACAAGGTCAGCAGTTGAAAACCACCAGGCCCTCCACTGGAGGAAGATGAGACTCTGTGCTCCCACAGAGATTGACAGGGCAGGTCCACCATGTCCTTATCAGGGCGCCGGGAGTCGGAATCGCCTTGGTGGCAGTGGGTCGTTGAGTTGGGAGTTGGCACTCAGCGGCCGCCTTGGGGGAGGTGTTCTCTCTGTCTGGAAGGTCCTTGGCACGTCTGAGCGTCTGCTTCTGGGAGATCTCTGCTGCTCACGGTGGTTCAGCTGTTACGCTTCAAAAGAGATGGGCTCGAGAAGCCTCCACTATGCGCCCTGCCTCGTGCCTTCCATAAGCACAGCCCCTCCCCAGATGGGATTTAGGGTTTACAGCATGTATCTGGGGACACAGTTTAATCCAGAACACCTTTGTTCTAGTGGGAGGCAGTGGTGGACCCGTGGTAGGCTCCTCCCTTCTCATGCCAGAGACCTGGTTCAACTCCCCGCCAGTGGACCTTGTGTCTGGCTGAGCAGAACTTCCAGATGAAGACGGAACCCCTGTGCAGATGGTGCTGGGCTGGGCAGGGCTTGCTGTGTTGTGCTATAGATAGGTCGCTATAGACAGGAACAACCTGATGGCTCCCAAGGGCAGCAACCACAACAAGATTGACAAGAAGAAAGGCCTGGTGATCTGCATCCTACAGTCAGCCCTGGAAAACCTACAAGGCACAATGTCCCGGGCTGCAGCAGCTCACAGAGATGGGGGAGGACGGGGCAGTGTTTGGTCATGTTGTCCTCAGGGTCACCATGAATCAGGGCTGACAGGACACCAGTTCCAGAGGCCACGCCCCAGGTTCTTCTCCACCGACAGCCAATAGGGCGTCTGCAGTGGCCCTGCCAGATGAGCTCAGCTGGGCCAGTCAGGAAGTTCAGGGTATGGGGTGCTTGGTGGCTTTTCCAGACGGGGCAGGGTCTTGCTCTCTGGATTGTGGACTGTGGCATCCACAGTCATCAGTTTGTGTTAGGATAGCAGATAGCTCCCTGGGCCCCAAGCACCATAGCTCTGCCCCTGGACTCCTGCTTGTTGGGAAGTGTCGTTCCTGCCCTCGGGGATCTGAAAGCGGCCACTGGACGGCAAAGCTAGCTCTCTTGGTAGATGGCAGAGGTCTCTGGATTCCTGTGTGTCATCCCAGGGGACCAGCCTCCACCCCCCCCACCCCCACCCCAAACCTCATTCAGCACACGGGCCAGTGGTGGGGTCTTGCCCTGTAGGCCATGGAGGCCAGGAGAAGTGAAGGGTGATGGCCATCCTGGTGCGTTAGGCCCTGGGAAGCTTGTGACTCGGCATCTCACCCCGATGCTGTGGTGCCCAGCAGCTGTGACTCCTGGGACCCCTCTGTGTCAGGAGGACAGTACTCCATAGGGTTTTCAGTGGCTGATCTTTTTGGAATTAAATTGCCAGGCCTTTCTTCCTAGGTCCTCTGGGTGGGGTCACATCTCCAGCCTTTTGTCTGGCAGAGCAAGCCCACGCACTCAGCCATCTGAGTCTCTCAGGGACACTGGCTGTGAATTGTTGTCCTCCCAAGGTCCTCGGGCCTTTGTCTTTTCTTGCAGAGTGTGTGGGCCGGTCTCAACTAGGCAGTCCCATTTGGACTAAGCTGAAGCAGGTCCGGGTCCAGCACGTGCTTCCCTGCACCTCCCAAAGGTCAGCGGCAGCCAGAAAGCAGTTCTCGGAGTTTCCAGACCCCATATGCTGATTGCCATAATTGCCATACATCCCTCACCACCCCTTTAAAAACCCTGGTCCCCAGCTGCTGAGCACGACTTCCCTGACCTGTTGGCCTAGGTCACCGAACCTCATCCGGGAGCTTCCCCACCTAATAAAGCTACTTCTGTTTCTGCTCTCCCTGGTCCTGTCAGTTATGTCTGTCTTCCTCCCTGTCCCTCAGTTCTGCTTGACACAGAATAGGTATTGTTTTCACTCTTGACACAGCTCTGGGGTGTTTTTTGCTTCTCCAAGCCCATCCCCTTCTGTTTTCTGCTCTGGACTTATGTCTGTGTGTTTCCCAGCTGCTGGTTCCCAGTCACCTCTCACCTGAGGGGTTTCTAATACCACAGCTACTCAAACGTCATGACCAGATCTGGGATCTTAACCAGAGAGTGTGTGTGCGTCCCGTCCCCCCCCACCTCCCCCCAGGGTTCACTTGTTTGTCAAGGTGATATGACGGTAGGCAAGTGCAGAGACCGGAGTTCGTTCCTTTCCTCTGTTCGTGGTGGGAGGGAGGAGCCCTGGTGGGGCGGCGGTTGAGTGCTGAGCTGCTGACTGAAAGGTGGGTGGTTCTGCTCCCGTGGTGATTTTCACCTGGGAAGCCAACCCGAGGGCAGTTCTACGCTGTCCTCAGGAGGCTGTGAGCTGGAATGGCTATGAGTTAGTAGCACACAGCACGTCGACAGTTTCTCATGGGACACAGCTGTGTGTGGTGGTGGCACAGGATGCTGGTGTCCCTGGAACGGGCACAGGTGGAGAGCAGGGAAGTGACAGAGGGCCTGTGGGGGACGTTTTCCTCCATCAAGAAAGAACACTAGCATGGCGATCAAGGTGCTTTCAGGAGACGAACTCGGTCCTCAGCCCTGTCTCTCCCCTGTACCCGGGCATTGTGCCAAGCGGCTTCTGCGTCTCCTGTCCCAGTGTGCACCACCTCCCCGTGGCTGGCCTCACTGCAGACAGTTACCTGATCGCTTAGTGACCCCTCCCAAAGCTAGTGTGCCCCTCCTGCCCCCTGGGGTTTTTCTTGGGAGGAGTGCTTGAACTTGACCACAGACCAGGCCGGATCCAGGCATGGCTCCTGAGGCTTCACACAGGATGGTCACCAGGGCTTCATGAGGCCATGCCAGGGTCCCCGGCCCCCAACCCATCTTACTCCCGGAAGCTGGCCCTGGCTTGACAGTGGCCTTGGAACAGCCGCACTGAAGTATGAGGCAAGGGCAGGGCCTGGGGTCTGGTGGGGAGCTGGCAGGGTCCTGCCATTCATGTGCACCTGGCACCCGGAGCCCCTATGCTGCCATCTTTGTTCCGAGCAGAGCTTCAAGGTCTGGGTGCTTCTTCCCCTGAGCCTGAGAACGAGCTGCTGTCCTCAGCAAGTGAATGCTTTCATAGCGCAAATGGTTCATGTGCTCAGCTGCTCAGCTCCACCTCAAGGATGGAGGTTCGAGTCCACCCAGAGAGGCACTTAGAAGAAAGGCCTGGCAATCCTTCCCCCACATTAGCCCCTGAACATCCTGTGGAGCGCAGTTCTATCCTGACACACGGGGGCACCACTGTTGAGAGTCGGCCACAAGTAACTGGGCTTTGGAGTCCCTGTGGCAAAAATTGTTAAGTGCTCCACTGTAAGGCAGAGGTTGATAGTTCGAACCCACCCCAGCACCACCACAGAAGGTGGCCTTGACAATCTGTTCCCAGGAAGGTGACAGCCACCTTTATGGAACTCAGTCTGTAATGCATGGGGGTTGAAGCAGGTGGGGTTTGATTTTTCACTCCTGCGGGGTTGGGTAATGATAGAATTGAGGGGTGACACTTAGTGAAGCAGTGTCTGCTTTTGACCAGTGTTTGTGGTTCTGTTTACAGATCCCTGCTGGAAACCCAGTGTATGAATCGTATTACAAGCAGGTAAGTTTAGCACGTGTGTATTTAGAGGGACCAAGTGCAGGTGGTTCAGTGGTAGAATTCTCACCCCTAGCTGGGAGGCCGGTGGGGGGGTGGTTTGGATTCCCACCCCCTGCACCTCCTGTGCAGACACCACCTGTCTCCGCAGGGGAGGTGTGAGTGTCGCTCTGGGGCGGAGCAAGCTCCAGTGGCGCTTCCAGACTCAGACAGACTAGGAAAAAGGCCTGGTGACGTACATAACGTCTGGAAGCAGCCGGTGCAAACCCTGTGGGTCACAGCAGTGTGGTCCAGATAGTTTTGTACTTTGCAGGGAGGAGGTCACAGTCGGCTCGGCCACTGCTAACAACAGGTGTGGGCCGGAACGGAGACCAAAGCTCTGCCACAGCAGCCGTGGCCCCTGGGCCTTGCTGTCCCCAGGCACCTCCCTGATGGAGTCCCTGGTGGATAGGTCTCTGAGGCGCTGTTCTCTGCTGCAGGTAGATCCAGCGTACACGGGGCGGGTTGGGGCGAGCGAAGCTGCACTTTTCCTGAAGAAATCTGGACTCTCAGACATTACCCTTGGGAAGGTGAGTTTGCCCCTCAGCCCCTGCAAGTGGTTGGCGGTCAGCTGTGGCTAGAGAACCCTTCGCTCGCTCGGGGAGTGATCAGGTTACCTTGTGTCCCTTGAGCTGGGACAGGTAGATCCAAACTCATTGGTGGCGGCCCCACTCCAGTGAGGCTGAACCTGCAGCTGTCCCCACAGGTTCCACAGGGCGGGAAGCAGGCTGGAGTTGACCCCCTTGGGAGTGAGGGGCTGGGCTGATGCCGGGCTTTGCCATGGGTGTGCTGGGCACCCTGCGCAGGCTGCCCGTTTGCTTGGCCCTGGCAGGTGGTTGGCCAGCAGCGGCTCCAGCAGCAGACAGGAAGTGCAGCACTGCACTCATGCTCACAGTCCGTTTTGTGTTTCCGCAGATATGGGACCTGGCCGACCCAGAAGGTAAAGGGTTCTTGGACAAACAGGTACATACACAGCCACAGAGTAAGGGGGCAGCTCGGCCCGAGTCCCGCCAGCCGTCAGCCCCACACTCCCCCACCCTTGCCACCGCCCCAGTGTCACTGGACACGAGTGCACCATGTCCAAATAAAGACCTCGGAGCCTCTTGCTGGGCTAGCGTGTCTCTCATATTTTGTGTAGTTAGTTACAAAAGATTAAAGATTTTAATGACTTGATTTTGAAATCATCCTGGATTCTCATACAAGTTCAAAAACAATCATGCCAAGATCTCATGTACCCCACGAGCTCCTCCTAGTGGTAGCATCTGATACGACAGCCACCAAACCCACAGCTGTGGGCAGTGGAGCCAAGCTAAAGGCAAGATGGTAGCTGGACTCTGAGTGTGTGTGTGTGTGTGTGTGTGAGAGAGAGAGAGAGAGGACACACTTATGTATGTACAGCCTTCTATGCAGTTATGTAGCCACCACAGTCAGGATGCAGAACTGCTCTCCTCTGGAAGCTCTCTTAGGCTCCCCTGGCCACCACCACCCCTCTCCCCCAGCATGATCTGTATACGGAATTCTTCAGTGTCACCACACCACTGTCTTCAAGGCCATTCCAACTCCTAGCAGCCTTAGAGGACAGACGGAACTGCCTCCGAGGGCTTTCAAGTCTGCGACTCTTCATTATGGAAGTCAACTGCCTCATCTTTCGCCCACAGAGCGGCTGTTGGGTTTGAACCGTCTGCCTTCTGGTCAGCAACCACTGCTCCACCAGGGCCCCTCCTTCTGTGTCACAGTATCTACAGATGACTGTTTTTCAGTGTTTGATGATATGTCTGTTGTATGATTGGCAGTGATGAGGGAGTCCCTGGGTGGCACATGGCTAAGCGCTCATTCCCCACTGAGGTGTGGGGGTTCAGACCCATGGAAAGCGCCTATCGATCTGCTTCTGAAAGCCTCATGGGGCAGTTCCACTGTACACATGGGGCCACTGGGCAGCTATCCACGGTAATAGTGATGACACTGTATTGATGAGAAAAAAATAATGCAGCAGCTTTTGAAAGTGGAGAACACTTCCCAGAAGCCTGATGTCATCATTCTGCACCCCTGCAGGCAGCCAGGGAGGGTGGCGTTTTCTTCTAGCCTTCCAGTGGTTATGCACTTCATCCAGCCCAGCCTTTCCCAAACTGATTCCGTGGGGTGTGGCTTGTGGGCGCCCAGTTCAAGACCAGAGCCACCAAGAGAGTGCCCCCTGCTCGCCCTCCTTCCTACAGGGCCTTGGGTTCCTTGGCATAGGAAAGGCACCTACTGGCTCAGCTGGGTGCAATCTCCTGACCTCCCCGGCTCCTGGGTGCAGGCTTGGCTCCCCTGGACTCAGGCAGGCTGCTGCTGTCCACCTGGGCAACACCCATCTAGCACTCACTCCTTTGGAGACATTTAAGACCAGAATTGCATCTATGGCTTTAAACCCATCAGTGCTCTTAGGCTGAGTGATTGTCTTAGTTTTAAAAAAAAAAGGTGTCTGTGCTTGCTAAGCCCACAGGTGGCCAGCCCTGGGTGATGGGGCTGTGGGATGGGGAGTGGGCTGACAGGGCCTGGGGCCCTGCGTGGCGGGTGGTGGGGGGACAGTCCTCATTGGGCTACCGTGGCACAATCCCCGAGAGGGTGCTCTGCTCAGAGGGGCGGGGGTCCCAATGAATCGCGACTACGGATCCCAGGACAACTGTCCATTTCAAATCCAGCTTGAGAACCTAGCGTGGCATCATCTGTAATCTGGTCCAAACCTTTGAAGCCCCCCACTTTCGAGATTTCGTATTCCCTAAATGTTTGGAGCCCTTAATTGTTGAGCACCTCACTTAGTGACACTTTGCAGTGTTCTCAGTGAACTGAGGTTTGTCCGTGCCAGCCTAGTCCTTTTAGTGGCTCTCCCAGAAGGTGCCCCGGTGTGAGATTTGCATATACTGCCAAGAGGCCGGCCTGAGGTCACATATTCCGGCCCCCCCCACCCCCCTGCAATGGCAGATGGCGCTGGCTGTGCTCTGGGGCCGTGCCAGGCACACACTTCATCCTCCATTTCCACCCACAGGGCTTCTTCGTGGCATTGAGGCTGGTGGCGTGTGCGCAGAGTGGGCATGACGTCACCCTGAGCAACCTGACACTGAGCATGCCGCCGCCCAAGTTTGTAAGTGCCCGTGCGTGCCTCTCTGTAGGCTTCCGCACCTCCTGCCTGTCTGTCCCCACTCGTGAGCGCGTGCCCCTGCTCCTGTGCGCTCATGCCTCAGCAGCCACACCGCGCCCTTTTCCCTTTCAGCACGACACCAGCAGCCCGCTGACGGCCGCCGTGCCTGCCACAGAGGCCCACTGGGCCGTGAGGGTAAGAGGGTGACGGGCCAGGGACGGAAACGGTCTTTGGGGTGGTTGGGTCCCTGTTCTGCGTCAGTGTGAGCGGTCACCGCGTCCTGACTTAGTGCTTTTGAAACTGAAGTCCCTTTCGCAGGCCTTGCCCAGTGGTGGCAGGTCCTTTGCTCGGGCGGTGAGCGACGAGTCTGGAGGCGCATTCCTAAGACCCTGCTGTTGTAGGTCACTTTCTGTGGTTTCCTGTGAGTCACAACTGGGGTGGTTACGGCCACCGAGTCTGGGCAGCCCCACACACCACAGGACCAACTGCTGCCCAGTCCCGTGCCAGCCTGTGATGGGGTGCGGATCGGTCTGCTGTGGTCTCTCTGGCTTCCACTCGGGTGCCCGGCCCGGTTCCCAGCCAGCACACCTCGTGCACATGTGTCTGTCTTCCTCGCAAGCTGCGAAGCTGCTGAGCAGGTTTCAGCAGAGCTTCCAGACTAAATGGACGAGGAAGAAAGGTCTGGCAATCTGCTCCTGAATGGAAGGCTTGGCTTCCTCCAAAGGTCTTCTCTTCATCAGACTGAGAGGGCAACGTGAGCCCTCTGCGCTCGAGTTTCTAACCAGGGTGCGAGTCATTAGTCTCCTTTCTGACTTCGCATCGCACTCTGAAAAGCCCAAGGCAGGATCATTGTGCCTGGGCAGATGGGCCATTGCTTCTAGAGGGAGAAAATCAAATCCTGCCACCCAGTCAGTGCCGATGAACCCTGGGGAGATGGGTGGGGCAGGGGGTCGTGCCCCAAGATAAGCTGAGATTCTTTAAGATGAGGTGGGGAGGTCTTCACATTTCCCCCCTTTTAATTTGGCTTGCACAGTGGCCCTGACAGCAATCTTGCTATAACATAGCAGAGTCAGTCAGTGGTGGGTCTGCCCTGCAGTGGAGTCCCCCCTTCCATGCCAGGAGGCCAGGCTTCGGGTCCCCGTTAGTGGCCCTCATTGGCAGCCACGTGGAAGCTCCCTTGTCGCCGCGATGCTGGGCAGGGTGCTGGGGTGCTTCTAGACTGGGTTGGACTAGCCTGGAACGCCTGGCCGTCTCCTTCCCAAAGCCAACCTGAGGAGACCCAGTGAGCACGGCCAGCAGCTGTCCAGCCGCTCACGGGCTGGCTCGGGGCAGCCTGTGCAGGGGGCCGGCTCCATGGGCCCGAGGAGCTTGTGAGGGTTCCACACGAAGAGCTGGGGAGCAGAGCGTAAGCAGACAGGTGTCAAGAGTGGTTTCAGTGGCCACGTGTTGAAACAAATTAAAAGCCAAGCCAAAGTCTCTTTTTCCACCGGGGTGTGTTTCCTGAGTCAGTAAGACTTACAGCCTTCAGGCCAGATGCCCTATTTGCCTTCTCCATGCTGGCCGCCACTACGTGGGGCCTCTGCTCATGGGCTCATCTCTCCTCGAGCTCATTTCTCCCTGCTAGCACCGTGCTCCCGAGGGAGGGCGTGCCCTACCACAGCGGGCCACCACTCGGCGGTGCCGGTCCTCCTCGCCCCTGCGTCTTTGCTCCTGCGGGCCACAGTGGCTGCTTGCTACCTCTGGGTGTAAGTGTGAGCCCAGCCAAGTCGTCCCTCCACCCACACAGAGCTTTTCCTTCTAAGTGGTGCCGACTGTCACCTGCTGACCCACCTGTTGGGACCTGTACCCATTGGCTCCAGCAGAAGAAAGGTGGACAAAGCTCAGAGCCGGGAACCCCCCACGGAGCTCACTTCTACCCAGGAACATGGGGTGGTTGCGAGTCAGATTCCAGTCAGTGGCTCTGTGTGTATGTGTGTTTCCCCGGAAGACTCCGTGCGTGCAAACTTCATCTTGACAGTTAGCTGCTAAGCTCTCTGTCTCCTATTATGCATGGTTCTTTCCCTCTTTGAGGTGCCCTGGTGGTACAGTGGTTAAGCGCTTGGCTGCTAGCCAAAAGGGCAGCAGTTGGAACCTGCCAGTTGCTCCAAGGAAGAAAGATGTGGCAGTCTTCTTCCTGGAAGATGACAGCCCTGGAAACCGTCCAGGACCGTGCTATCGTGTCCTGTAGGGCCACTGTGAGCCTGCAATTGACTCAACACCGATGGGTTTCTTTACGCTTTGGTTTCAATTCTGTGACTTACGGTAGTTTTAGCTCCTGTTTCTCCAGTACTGGCCTCTCTCTAGACCTTCTCCCAGGAGGTGGCTAGAAGTAGTGGAGACACCATGAGCCCCAGACTCTGTCATTCTGCCTTTTCCAGAACATTCCATAGTTGGAATCCCACGAGCAAGTTCACTTCTGCAGCTTGGTGGTCCCTTGCCTTCAAGGCGGGGAGAAGGTGCCCCAGGGCCATGTCACACAGCCTGGTGGCCGCTCGGTGGGACACTCACACGAGCACTGGACTTACTTGGCTGCTTCTTTCCAACCAGGTGGAAGAAAAAGCCAAGTTTGACGGTATATTTGAAAGCCTTTTGCCCATCAGTGGTCTGCTGTCCGGGGACAAGGTCAAGCCTGTCCTCATGAACTCCAAGCTGCCCCTGGATGTCCTTGGTCGGGTGAGTGTAAGGGTCTGGTCCTGGCCCTCTGACCTCTAGACACTGTCTGTTGAGGGTTGGGGCCTCTGGCAACTGTCAGCAGCTGGTACAGCTTGGCACCCCAGAGGGTCCAGAGGTAACAGCAGGCTAGGTCAGAGGCTGGCTGGGAGGTTTTGATCTTTATGGGGTTGTCTGGTGACTGGTTTGGGTGTGGGGTGCTCCTTATGGACATGTCCAGCTCGGCTGAGGCTGGCAGATGTATATCTCGGACTGGCTGGGTGTGGGTCTGGGAGCCAGTAGGTGACCAGGACCCACCCACTTGGACTGAGGATACTGTCTGCCCAGCACCTTTGGGAGCCCCTACTTCTCAGGGACATGATCTTGCTCATTGTCAGGGGAGGGACCTCCTACAGACTTGTCCCCAGCCCTGCTTGCTGCATCTGGGAGAAAAAAATACCCAGATGTTGTGCATTAGGGTTAGACCTGGGTACAGAGCAGCACCTGTCCAGATCACTCCTATTTCAGACTGATTTGTTAGGTATAGTACCCCTGGTGGTACTGGGACTTAGCTGGTAACTGAAGGATCAGCAGTTCAAACTCACAAACCTCTCCACAGAGGAAAGATGTGGCAGTCGGCTTCCGTTAAGAGTCACAGCTTTGGAGATCCTGTGTGGCAGTTCTATTCTCTTGTATACGGTTGCTATGAATTCAGATCAACTGGATGATTAGGTTTTGGGAGCCCCGGTGGTGAAGTGGGTGGTGTGTTGGGCTGCTAACTGAAAGGCCAGCAGTTTGAACCCACCAGCCACTCCATGCTCCCTTAAAGATTTACAGCCTTGGACACCCACGGGTAATCCGATGCTGCCTTATAAGGTTGCTGTGAGTCACAGTGGATTCAGTGGCCGTGAGTTTGGAAGGTTTTGGGGAAAGGTCCCTGAGTGTCTCTAGTGGCTTGTGATTGATTGGCTGCTGGCCTAAAGGTTGGCAGCTTGACGGCATCCCGCAGCAGTGCAGAAGAAAGGACTGGCAGTGTGCTCTTGGGAAGATAATTCCGCCCTCGGTGTGTGGGGTTGCCCATGGGTTGACGTCCGCATGATGGCAACAAGTTTGAGTTTTGAGTTTCTGTAAGGTCCACCCCACTGCTATCGAGTTGATTCCCACCATAGACAGGGTCTCCTGCCGCAAGTCTTGTTGGAAGCAGAAGGCCTCATTGTTGTCCCGAGGAGCGGCTGGTAAGATGCTACAGACGAAGTCTCGGGGTCACAGCCCCAGCTCGCTCTCTCTCAGGGAAGGAGCATCACGCCCGCAAGGGCCCCGGGGCTGGCGGACTCGCCAGGCAAGGGTCTCTGGGGACAGCCAGGGCTTGCAGAACCGAGTGGTGGTCTTGTTGGGGATTCCGGCTTCTTTCCCTTACTGGTCCCTCTCTCACAGGTCTGGGACCTCAGTGACATCGACAGGGATGGACACCTAGACAGAGATGAGTTTGCTGTGGTAGGTCCCTGTTCGCATTTCCCCTCCCCCACTTTCCCAGGGGACAACAGTCACCAAGGGAGGGGTGCACTTCTCGGCTCTCCTCTCTTGCTTAAATTTTCAAGCATTGTTTTTTTTGATGTAATTTTAAGAAGTTGCACCAGTGCAGAGTTCTTTTCAATACATTTTTTTAATGGAAAAAAATTGTTTAAATCATTTTATCGGAGGCTCATACAACTCATCACAGTCCATACAACCATCCATTGTGTCAAGCACATTTGTATAGTTCTTGCCTTCATCATTCTCAAAACATTTTCTTTCTACTTGAGCCCTTGGTATCAGCTCCTCATTTCCCCCCTCCCCCTCCCTCACAAACTCTTGATAATTTATCAATTATTATTATTTTGTCAGGTCTTACACTGTCTGACGTCTCCCTTCACCCACTTTTCTGTTGTCCATCCCCCATGGAGGGAGTTGTATGCAGATCCTTGTGATCGGTTCCTCCTTTCTATCTCAGTACCGTTTACCACTCCCCCTGCCCCCGCCCCCCAAGCAGGTGGTACTCTCACTGTTGTTGCTTTATCCTTCCCCCTGCTGCTGGCCCCCTCCCCACCCATCCAGGCCTCCCTCCCTCCCTCCCTATATCCGGGTGCAGGTCCGTGTATAGAGAGACGTGCGTGAATTTTCAGGGGAGGTTGCAGAGGCAACAAGAAGCCTCTTTATCCTGAAATCGTTCGGTGCGACTCTCCTAAAACAAGGCTCCTCTCCTGGAGACACCACAGTTTCGTGGGGGTTCACAGAGCTCAAGGTCAAGGGGTGAATGGCACTGCGCACAATAGGAAATTCGCATCCTGCTGACTAGCATCCAGCCCAGGAGTTTGTTCAGACTTTGTTAACCACCCCACACGTTTCCTGGTGGCCAAAGGAAACCAGCACCTCGGTGCCCTTAACCCGGAGCTGCCCTACATTTGTCTGTTCAGCTTGCCCAGTGTCTACATGTTGGGTGGGGCGCAGCTGGTCTCTGGTGTACCTGGGGCCCCCCCTGGCACCCCTCCAGCGTGGTGCCTCTGTGGGGCAGAGCTGGGAGTGATGGGGCTGTGGGAGACACTGTGTCTGCCCCACCTCGACTGTACCCTGTCCCCCTGCAGGCCATGCACCTGGTGTACCGGGCGCTGGAGAAGGAGCCGGTACCCTCAGTCCTGCCCCCGTCCCTCGTGCCCCCCACCAAGAGGAAGAAGACCATGTTCCCAGGCGCTGTGTCTGTGCTGCCCGCCAGCCCCCCGCCGAGGGACAGCCTGCGTTCCACGCCGTCCCACGGCAGTGTCAGCAGCCCCAACAGCACCGGCAGCCTGTCCCCCAAGCACAGCGCCACGCAGGCCCAGGTACAGCCCTGCCCTACCCCAGAGTGGTCACAGCACGGGCCGGAGGGGGTTTGAAATGGGGCCTCCTGCTCATGATGACAATTCTGCAGCTCTGCCCTGTGAAATTGTCATGCCCAGTCTTGCTCTGCAACTCTGCCCTGTGAAGTTGTCATGCCCTGTCTCGCGTGTCGCTATGGTCGGGATTTGTGTTCTGTGTTGGGAGTCAGCCTGCTCTCCTGTGTGTGCGCGCGCACTCGGTGCCTGCGTCCTGGCAGGGTTAGTGCGTGCACCTGCCCTTGGTCATGCCCTCACACCCGGTACTGGTGTTCTGTACAGAGCCCCCGGTGGTGCAGGTGGTGAACATTTTCAGGTGCTAACCAAAAGGTTGGAAGTTTGAGTCCACTCAGAGGTGCCCTGGAAGAAAGGCCTGGTGGTCGACTTCTGGAAAGCCATCCCACCGCAGTCCTGTGGAGCTCTGCTCTGCTCTGACACGTGTGGGGTCCCCAGGAGCCAGCTTGCTGCCCACCGTCACGTGTGCAGGAAAGGCAGAGTGTCTCCTGGGGCCTGCACGGCTTTCTGTGCTTTGAAGGGGGAACAGCAGGCTTTGGCTGTGACAGTAGAAAGGCCGGCTAGCAGCCGTGCCCTCCCATGGCAGTGGATGTGGGAGGAGCCACACGGTTTCTTGCGCGTGGAGTACATGCGTGTAAAGCTGAGGGTCACATCTGCAGACCTGTGGGAGGCGGGTGGTTGGAGAGGGTTCAGGTGGCTTGGCCAGTGGACGTGGCTTTACCATTCTGGCTGGGTGGGAGGTTGAGGCTGGTGGGGTTCCCTCCAGACCGCCTGGTCACAAGCTAGGCGCTCATATGTCCCAGACAGTGAGTCCACCAGCCACTGACACCTGCTACTGCCAGGAGGCGGGGGAGCTTCAGTGGCAGATTGGGGCCTGGGGGAAGGAGCCAGGGAGGCCAGCGGTCGTGGTGAGATAGCCAGTGCCCATGAGGAAAGAGGACGGGTGGTCAGGAGAAAGTAGGCGGGGAGTGCAAGGTAGGATGACGAGTGAGGAGATGGGAGACAGCCACTCCAAGGCTCGGGGAGCAGAAGGGCTTGAGTGTTGGAGAAGCCGGGCACAGGGCAGGAAGCTGGGGTTATGAGCACGGCAGGAACTGCTGTGTCCCATGTAGGCCGGTCCCTGGGAGGCTCAGGTAGACCAGCCTCCTTACCACCCCGCCCCTCCCCGCTTGACCTCGAGGCTCCCCTGGTCCTGGCACATGTCTTCAGATCACCTCGTTAGGACAGGGGCAGAGAGCCCTGGATGCACAGTGGTGAAAGCATTTGGCTGCAAACCAGCGGGGTCAGAGCTACACACCGCCCTGCAGGAGAAAGCTGTGGCAGCCTGCTTCCTCTGGGCCACTTCCTTCCACCTGAGAGAGTTGCTGCGAGTCTGGCAGAAGTAGACACGGTGGCTTTGGTTTGGGCTCAGTGGAGCGATGGGGTGTCCCCTCCCGCCCTCAGGGTTGGCTGTGGGAGTTTCTGCAGCCTTGGTCGCCCTGCCTCCTCACCCCCAGGTCAGCACTGCTGGGGCTGGGCCCCTTGGGGGCCCAGTGCGGCATGGTGGCTGCTCCTCTCTACTCACAAGAGGAAGGCTGCCTGTGTATGAAGTGACGGGCCGGGGCCGGTCACCTACAGTGTGGTCTCTTGGGTCTGGGACCCTGTGCCGAATCCCCTCAGTCCAGTGCACTGCCCCATCTACCGCCGCCCCTGTTCTGGCCCAGACTCAGTAGTGAGGCCTTTCCCTTTTTCCCCAGCACAGCTTCACGCGAGTGTGTCCGCCCTGGCTGTGTGTCTCCCGCTGTGCACAGCGGGTCCAGGCGGCTCAAAGCCACCTGGTGGTGGGATGTGACAGAGAGCTGAGGTGGGTGGTGTGACATGGTGGCAGGTGCCCCTGGATGGAGGGGAGACTGCCTTATAAGGATCCGGCCTGAGGGCAGACACAGGCATGTGGGGCGAGAGGAGAGCATGGGCCTGAGGGGTGAGCCTAGGGACCTGTTCTCAGGTCTGAGTCGGCTGGCAGCCCACATGGCCCTTTGTCACAGCACGGAGTGCAGGGGGCCCCTGTGCCTGGAGGATCCCCACAGTTGGCCAAGGTCACCCTGTGCGTGGGCGGGGTTTCTGTTCTTGAGCAGCCTGCTGTCTCTCACAGCCCCTCCCTGGACCCAGTGTGCACACCCAAGACCGGGGACGGTCAGGTGCAGCTCTCTTTCCCGCTGCTGCTGGGCGCCATGTGTGCCACCACCTCCCTGGGTGACTGGCTTTCGGAGGAGCAGGGGTGGTGGAGGAGGAAGCTGTGGGGGCCTGCATGCCTGCCAGACAGGTTGTTGGTGGGCCAGGTCCCCATTGGGTAGCTGGGGTCCCCTTGAGCCCTGCAGACCTCAGGAGGAGATTGGGGCGGGCCCAGGGTGTTTGCCCCACCTGAAGGGGTACAGTGAGGTGGGGGCCGTGAAGGGCCTGGATCTGTCTGTCCCCTCCTTGGCCTCAGTGTCCCTTGGTCGCAGCAGGGGTCCTGGCTGCCTCCTCGGGGAGGGTGTTGTAGGGAGATGGTCACACAGGGACAGGCGTGAACTGGGGGCCTATGCACAGACCGTGATGCATGCCCCATAGCCCGCCGTGAGCTGGGTGGTGCCGGTGGCTGATAAGGTGCGCTTCGACGAGGTCTTCCTGAAGACGGACCTGGACCTGGACGGCTACGTGAGCGGCCAGGAGGTGAAGGACATCTTCATGCACTCGGGCCTGACCCAGAGCCTGCTGGCGCACATCTGGTGAGTGCGTGGGGGCGGGGCTCCGAGGGGTCCTTGTGCAAATGAGGCGCGGATGTTTCCTTCCAGAGGTGGGAGCTGGATGGGGGGAGGGCCAGGGCAAAGGAGGGCGGTGTGCTCCCTGCACGTCTGTCACGTGGCCCTCCTCCAGCAGCAGGGCCCTCAGACCACCCCAGAGATGGTCTGCAACTGCAGATTCTGCTGGGCAACGTGTCCCATTGTGCATGGGTCGCCATGAGTGAGGGCTAGTCTGGCAGCAGCTGCCAGCAGCATGGGAAGTCAGTGTCCAACATTGCCTCAGAATCCCAGGGCCTGTGAGGGCTTCCCACAGGAGCAGGGAAGCAAGTCTGTCTGATCCAGCATGCTGCTGGGGCTTGTTCACATTCGGAGGGGAGGGCTCCACCCCAGAAGGCCAGCCACCCCAAAGAGGGCACGTAGCACACAGCAAACCAGGTTCCCATGGGGAAGCTGCATACAGCAAGTAGTGGGTTTCAGCCCCATCAGACACCTCTGTGTGTCAGCGTAGCTCTATGTTCTGTAGGATTTTCAGTGGTGGCTCTTTGGGAAGGGGATCACCAGGCATGTTTTCAAAGGCTCCTCCAGGAGGGCTTGTTAACAGCCGAACCTGTTCCCAGTCTGCTCCACTCAGGGCCTGTCACACTGGGGCTAGCCTGTACTGTGCCAGGGAGATGATGTACGCCTGATTGTCACATCAGGGGATGGCCGATGAGGGGAACTTTGGACACAGCATAATACGTAGTCATATGACAGTGGTGAAGACTCAGGAAGCCACGGGTCTGCATGGACTCGGAGAGCACATGGTGGCCGCCGGGAAGGTGGACAGATGGGGTGGGGCCCAGGACAGCCAGGAGCAGCTCCCCTCCCCCCCCCAGGACTGGACCTGCCCAACAGGGGTGGCAGGAGGCTGCCATGTACAGAGTCCCCAGGAGCTTAGACCTTTCTTGACACCCCCTCACTGTGAGCCCCAAGAAGGCTGAGCTCCAGAGACGTGGAGAGGAGGGTCAGCACCGTGGGCAGGAGTGGAGCAGGCGGCTCCAGCCTCAGGTGGTAGCAGCAGGCACAGCAGCAAACTGTGATGCTGTGAGAAGCCGAGACTGCTCTTGGCCAGACCCTGGTGCTGGGTGCCAACCTGCACCTGTGTTCTCTGAGCCCCCATGAGGAGGCCAGCACCTGCCTGCCCCTTCTCTGTGCTGATGCTGTTCGGATGGCAGGGGACATGGGCCCATCAGGCACCGCTGCCTGTGTAGGTGCTGATCTGTCCTCGCTGCTCGGGGGCGTCCTGTGGGTGCAAGGACCTTGCGGACACTGTCAAGCTGCTCAGGTGCCAGAGGTTACACCGATGGAGGACACTGAGCTGGGGGACAATCCTGTGCCCTGCAGCCAGATCCAGTGCCGCCTCTGAGGACAGCCAGCAATGCTGCTTCACTCACATTGCCCCATCACCCCATGTGGTCTCTGCATTTTCTCTCCCTGTCCCCATACGGTCCCTGCAGAGCACCACCGTGTCCCTACATCACCCTCTTGTGATCTCCACCAGCCCCCCCATTGTCCCCCTTTGTTCCCACATCACCCGCTGCCCTCAGCCCACCTTGTCCTCCGTTGCCACCAGCTCCGGCCTCACTGAAAACCCACGGCTTTAGCTGCAGACATGCTCAGTCCACACAAGCTGGACCTCAAGAGATCCTCGGGGGGAGGGGAGGGGTGTGGTGGTCTGCTCCAGCTCCCGGGCCCTCCTGGGGTCCCTGGGGGCCAGACATTGGGGCTGAAGGGGGTGCCGGAGGCCCCAGTCCGTGGTCACTGGGTGGAGGAAGAGCACCCATTGCTGGGCTGAGTGCGTGGGCGCACTTGCGGTGGGTGTTGGGTGTCCATCCGAGATGTGTAATGCGCGTCCCCACATCTCTCCCAGGGCCCTGGCTGACACGAGGCAAATGGGGAAGTTAAGCAAAGACCAATTCGCGTTAGCTATGTATTTCATTCAGCAGAAGGTCAGTAAAGGCCTCGACCCCCCTCAAGTCCTCTCGCCAGACATGGTCCCGCCCTCCGAAAGAGGCACCCCAGTCCCGGTGAGTAGCCCTCTCCTCCTGTGTGCTGTTCCCACGCCTGCCACCAGGGGGTCCTGTGAGGCAGCCAGCTGCAGGGGGGTGCTTCCTGAGGGAGGGGTCTGATAAGGTGGGTGCCTTGTGGGAGGACCCTCTGGTGGGGTGGAGGTGGCCTCCTTGTGAGGGGCCCCCGGCAGGGGTGGCTGTCCAGTGGGTAAATGCCTCGTGGAGTGCGGTACAGTCATCAGACGTGTGCTGGTCTGGTGGCCGGTGGGCAGTTCCACCGCTGCCTCCTTTGACCCTAAGATGAGGTAGTCTGCCCTGGCTCCAAGCGCTCCCTGACCCTGCTCAGGGTCCGGTTACCTCGCTAATCTCATCCCTTGTGTCTGCTCCCAGGACAGCTCCGGCTCCCTGGCCTCCGGGGAGTTCACTGGCGTGAAGGAGCTGGACGACATCAGTCAGGAGATCGCGCAGTTACAGAGGTGCGTGCGGGTGTCCGCTCTGCACCCCCCCCCCCCCAGCCCGTCACAGGGCAGGTGCTGCGGGAAACCTGGGAAATGGAGGGGCCTGGGAACAGGTCCCTGTGCGTTTATTCCCAGTGGGAAAGGGGCGTAAATGCACCTCGTTTCTAAATCACTACAGTGTGTATGAGTAACGACCCCGTGCCCCGTCAGTGAGCGTCGGAGGATAGTGGTGGCTGGGGGGAATTTCTGCCCCTGCGCCTCATACGCAGTCACTGTCCTGCCGGTGAGACTTGGGTGGGCAGGTCCCAGACTCATGATGAGCTCCGAAGAAAGGCCTGGCATTCAAGTTCCGAAATCCCAGCCAGTGAACACAGTGTGGAGCACAGTGCTCTGACCTGAGGCCCGTCAGAGGGCCGGCGCGGGGCTGGGCAGCCTTGTTTCTCACTGTGCTTGAGGTGGCCATGAGTCAGCAGCTGACTCTGGGGGCTGTTAGCAGTGGCCCTGCCCAGCCCCTGTGCTCTCTTGGGGGGTGTGGGGGTGGGGGTACATGTCATCTTTGCACAGCTAACCCGTTGGGCCTCCTGTGGTGAGTATCACTGGGCCCAGGGGCCCAGGCTGTCCGCTTCCGCTTCCCCACCTCCCCCTGGTTCCCTCAGCTGTTGTCGGATACCCGACCGCGTTCCTGAGGCACGACTTCCTTTCCCTGCGATTCCTCAAGTTTGTACTCCCTCTGGTTAATCCTGGGTGCGTGTAAATGCCTTAATTTGGGGCTCCCAGCTGACAGGGAGGGCCGAGAGGCTGTCTGCCACCATGGGCAAGTGCTGCTACCTGACTAGAATCAGAGCAGTGCAGCCTCCAGGGGTCACAGGCCGACCCGCTCGAAGTCACAAGGTCCTGAGGTCAAGGCAGGAGACCCAGGGCTCTGCCAACCCCCCAGGTTGTTGGAAGGGATCTCAGGCCAAGATTGTGGTGTTGGCCACCAGGGCATTGTCGGGTGATTTCTTCTGGAAGGCTGGGGAGAACTCAGCCCCTAGCTCCTTCAGGTAGCTGTAACTCTGGGATCCAGGCTTTCTGGTTGGCCGTCAGCCAGGACCACTCTGCTTCCAAGCTGTCGTGCCCCCTCCTGTGGTGTGTCAGGTCCTCTTCTCCTCAGTCTTTTTTAGCTTCTTCCTCTGTTCCCAGACAGAGGCGGTTCCCACACTCAGTGACCCTGTAGGACAGACTGGAAGCATCCTGACCGCACAAGCAGCTCTTCAGGCTGGATCTAGTTGGAGGGGCTTTAAGAGTTTATGGGAAACCTCCATGATTGTTCAATTCTGTTTTCCCACAAGCATTGTGAAGCCCCTCCTATGTCTGGCAACCACATCTTTCCCTCTCAGTTAGCAGCGGGGTGTTGGCTTTACCACTGTGCCACCGGGAGCCCCCCTCGGCAGAGACTAGTCCCTGCTTTGGGGAGAGGCTCCCTCACCATAGAGCTACCCCCTGCCCCCCACACTCGGGGGTCTCAGGGTTTTCTCCTCTCCAGACAGGGTTCGGTGCCAGTTATTGTGGGGTCTTGAAAGTGGGCCGGAGGGTCCTCTCATCTGCATTCGGAAACTCACCCAGCCTCTCTGGGCTCATGAAATGTTGGCCACCTTTCAGGGAGAAGTATTCCCTGGAGCAAGACATTCGAGAGAAGGAAGAGGCCATCAGGCAAAAGACCAATGAAGTTCAGGTGAGAGCCCCCCCTCCATCAGACCTTCCACGGGGCCCACAGTGCTAGGGGCGGGGCAAATGAATCTGCGTCTCCTCTGCTTTGTTTCATTGAGGGAGAATTCACCTCACATAGAATCCCCCCATTTAAGGTGTATATTTCATCGACATTTAACATATTCACCAAGTTGTGCAACTACCACCTCTCTCTCAATCCTTCCCCTCCCCCGCATTACCTCCTGCTCTGGACATTCCCTGTAAGAGGCTTCTTAGCACTGTGTGGTCCTTGCGCCTGGCTTTTTCACTCAGTGTCTTCCTTCCCCTTCCCGGTGTTCTTTCTGATAATGCAGGGTTGTGCATATACTTGTACTTGTCTCTGCTGTCTGTGACTCCTGGTCCATAGGCTTTCAAGACTCAGGGCTTTGGGGGACTGTCCTGCTTGGAGCGAGTCCTAGAGGATGGTGGTGGCCCGGCCCGCAGAGGCAGTTGAGTTGGACCGCCAGCCTCACACGTGACTCTTCTTATCCACTGAGGGTCCTGGAGCATGTTGACGCTGGGGCTAGCCATGAGGGCTGCGGCCGTCATCGGAGCCCGAGCAGGGTGTGCTGTGACGGGGTCCTTGCTGCCCTTCGCAGCAGGGCCTGGTCTCTAGCAAACCTGGGGCCTGTCTTGTTGTTGTGCTGCAGGAGGCCCCTGTTGTTGGTCACTTTGGTTTTAAGTCATGGAAACTCTGCTTAGTTCTTGTCCCAATGCCCTGTCCTGGCCTGTTGTGACCTCTCCCAACTCCCCACCCCCCCACCCCGCCCCTCGACAGTCTCCAATTTTGTCGTCTTCTTTTTCCTATCATTTTATTGGGGGCTTATACAACTCTTATTGGTCTCGATTTTCATAGCCACTGCCTGAGTAATGGACATAGCTGCTGAGCCGGGGGTCGGGTGGGGGGTCATTTTGCTGTTTGTAACAGCTTTATTGAGATAACTCGCACCCTCCGTCCCGTTCACCCGCTTCACGTGTGTATTTGTCCAGCTGTGCTGCCAGCACCAGTCATTTCAGATCCTTTCCTCACCCCAAAAGGAACGCCATACCCTTTGCCCTCCCCTCTTCCGCCTCCCCGCCTCCAGTTCTGGGCTTGGTCATCAGTCAGTCACTCTGGGTTGACTCCCACTCCTGGCGACCCCAGGCACACAGGACCCAACCTGGCCTGGCCCTGCACCGTCCTCACTGTGGGTGTGGCAGAGGTAGAATAGATGTTCTGATCCCTGGGTTTGCCATTCCGTTTTTCCTCAAGCAGCCAACCAGGCCTTTCTTCCTAGTCTCTTAGTCTAAAGTGTCTGTTGGCCCTGCTGCTGCGCATCACAGCAGCATGCCAGCTGCTGACGCACAACAGAGTAACGGAAGGGTGGGAGGTGGCCCCGAGCTTCCTGGCGAGCACTCACCTGCCGTTGGTTTCTATGTATGTGTGTATGTATGGTAGCTACCACTTGCCTATTGTCGTGTTTCACTGTGGTGGCTGTGTGATGCTGGAAGCGATGTCACTGGTATTTCAAATACCCCCGGGCCACCCAGAGGGCACAAGTTTCCGCAGAGTGTGCAGATGAAGAACAGACCATGAAGAAGGAATAGGCTGTCCACCTCAGAGGAGTTAGCCTCTGGAAACTTGGATGCATCGTCAGTACTGGAAACCTCACGGAGAGAGCATGGAGAGAGCATGGGCGCATCGTCAGTACTGAAACCTCACGGAGAGAGCATGGAGAGAGCATGGGCGC